TGCACAAGAAGTGCAGAGTGTAGTATCAGTACAACCGACCCCATGTACTGGTAAGTGCTGAGCCTAACCTCGACGAAGTAGTGACGAGGCTAAGGCGGTTCACTTACATTAACCTGTACGCAGTATTAGTAACAACAACAATAATAGAAATAAATCAGGTAATTCATTTATAATAATTGAAGACAACTCAACAGTCATAACCAATTATCATTTCCATTAATTTTGTTGCAGCGTGCAACCCACTCTAACAATATATTCACATTCAATTCTGTTGCAGCGTGCAACCCGCTCTAACAATATATTCTCATTCAGTTCTATTATATATTTATTTCAATCAAGTATATATATAGATTTTTAAATAAATATTAACTTTTTAACAAGTCTGTTGCGGCGTGCAACCCGATCCTCCAATATTAACTTTTTAACAAGTCTGTTGCGGCGTGCAACCCGATCCTCCAATATTTTCATTTCAATCAATTCTTATAGAAGATATTCCCCAATAAACGCAACAATTAATATAAAATCATAAGACAACAAGCATACAATAATTATAATTTAATTATGAAACAAACAATGATAATTAGCAATTTATTATAGAAATCAGGGAGAAAATAGGCAGTTTAATATGCTAAATTCAAATAACAATTAAAACACATAATTCAAATAGCATGTAACAATTAATGCAGGAATTCAAGAATTAATATTTTGACAAAGAATAAGAGAAACAATTATTAGAATAATTAATTTATGATTAAAAATAATTTATGATTTTTCAAGTAAGCAGGCAAACAATTAATTTGACGACGTATAGACACTCGTCACCTCGCCTATACGTCGTTTACATGCAATTCACATAACAAACAATTTAAGGGTTTTATTCCCTCAAGTCAAGGTTAACCCCGACATTTACCTCGCCTTGCAAATTCCAATAAATTATTCAACCATAATTTTTCCTTTTAAATTTGCCTCCGAAAGCTTCAAATCTATTCACAAACAATTCGATATATTCAATACGAATCATAGGAATTAATTCCATATGAATTTACAAATTTTTCGGATAAAAATCCGAAATTTATTAAAATATTCGGCAGTGGGACCCATGTCTCAAATCCCGGAAAAAATTGCGAAATCCGAACAGCCGTTTCGATACGAGTTCAACCATACCAAATTTGTCCAATTCTATATCAAATGGACCTTCAAATCTTAAATCTTCGTTTTTGGAAGATTTTATAAAAATCTGATTTTTCTTCTATAAATTCACGGATTCATTATATAAATGAGTATGAAATCATGAAATATAATCAATATAGGATAAAGAACACACACCCCAATGTTTTTCCGTAAATATCGCCCAAAAATCGCCTTACCCGAGCTCAAAAAATGGAAAAGAATTGAAAATGGGTCGAAACCTCATTTCCATAACTTAAGTTCTGTTTCTAGGACTTTTACCCTTCGCGAACGCGGTCAGTGCCTCACGTTCGTGAAGCACATTTTGTGCTGCCAAAACTTTGCTCTTTGCGAACGCGAAGGCAATGTCACGAACGCGAAGCCTTGCCAAATTTAGCCTTCGCGAACGCGATACACCGTACGCGAACACAAAGCTTTAACGCTTGGTGCCCGGCCAGGCCTCGCCTTCTACGCGAACGCGAACGCTTCCACCCGCTCGCGATGAACATTGCCCTCTTCCCTTCGTGAATGCGTCCCCCTCTTCACAAACGCGAAGAGTAAATTTCACCTGCCTCCATTTTTTTCTTCGCGAACGTGAGCCACCTCTCGCGAACGCGAAGAAGGATACCAGAAGTAGATTTTTGCAGTTTTTCCAAGTCCAAAAATGGTCCGTTAACCACCCGAAATCAACCCGAACCCTCAGGGCTCCAAAGCAAACATGCACCCAAGTCCTAAAATATCATACGAACTTGCTTACGCGATCGAATCGCCAAAATAACACCTAGAACTACGAATCGGTCACCAAATCAAAAGAAGTTTTCAAAAAATAACTTTAAAACTTATATTTTTACAACCGGACGTCCGAATCACGTCAAATCAACTCCGATTCTCACCAAATTGGGAAGACACGTCATAAATATTATAGTGGACTTGTACCGGGCTCCGAAACCAAAATACGGACCCGAGGTCAATAAATCCTACATCAGTAATTTCTTAGAAATCATTAAGCTTTCAAGCTTTTAATGTTTTATCAAAATTCTATAACTCGGGCTAGGGACCTCGGAATTCGATTCTGGGCATACGCCCAAGTCTCAAATCACGATACGGACCTACCAGAATTTTTAAGACACTGATCCGGGTCCGTTTGCTCAAAATGTTGACCAAAGTCAACTTAGTTGAGTAAAATCTTCCAAAACCAAAAATTTAAGATTTGCAGGTCGAGTTGCTATTGGAATTCGATGAAATTGGTATGGTTGAACTCGTATCGGAATGGGTGTTTGGATTTCATGAAAATTATGTCGGGTTCCGAGGGGCGGGCCCCGCGTTGACTTTTGTTGACGTTTTTGGAATAAATTTTTAAGTCGAAGTATTATTATCCGGAATTGTTTCCGATGAATTTTAATGAAGTTATACAATTAATTTGGATAGATTTGAGCTGTCCGGAGGTCAATTCAAGCAAGAAGGCTATTTTGGAATATCGGCCTAAAAAAGTTAAGTGTCTTGCTTAACCTCGAGTGAGGGAATTACCCCTTAGGCATTGAGTCTTATGTGCCGTTTGTGAAATGTGAAAAGCCATGTACGCGAGTTGACGAGTACGTACTCGGGCTTATACGTGCAAAATTCATTGAATTAAAGTCTTAGGCATTATTGTGTAATAAATTGGGAAATTATGGAAAATTATTAAACCATCTGTTTGCCATGCCTAAATACTTATTGTTGAATTTGTTTTTTTATGACAATTGGATATGATTGTTACTCTATTATTTATGCAATTCCATGAATTTGATGGTTTGATAATTATTGGAATTTAATTTCATTATGAATTTTTCCCTTTGCAAATAATTAATTAAATGAGCTTAAGAAAAGGTATTTATATAATTATCTAAATTTGGATTAATAAAGGTTTTGCTTTATGCTGAGTATTTTCTATCTCTGTTGATTGTCTTTGGGGTGTTATATACATTTTTGTGGAGCCTTGGGCTATTTGTTGTGAAATTAATTGATTTCGTTATATCTTTAGAATTTGGTTGTGGCCATTGGGCAAATTGTGATATGAATTAATTTTATTATGTTGCTGTGATAATTTTCCGTGTAAATTATTGTGTTGTGTGAATTGTTATTTTGTGGAGATAAGGGTGGCATTTCACCATTGATATTATGTGGTTATAAGGTTGGCATTTCACTGTTGTGTTTGTTGGGATATTGTCTGGGTGGAGCGATAAAGGTGGCAATAGGAGCGATAAGGGTGGCAATAGGAGCGATAAGGGTATCTATTGATATTGTCTGGGCAGAGCGATAAGGGTGGCTATAGGAGTGATAAGGGTGGCTATAGGAGTGATAAGGGTGGCAATAGGAGCGATAAGGGTGGCTATTGTCAGGGACGATATGTGATGATGTGGGGTTGTGGTGTTGATAATTTTCATGTGATGTTGTGATTTTCTTATGTTTATTTCTTTACCTTGTGCATCTTGTCTTGTTGTTGGTAAATTGATAACAATCTGATTTATGTTGAAATTGAGAGCCTGTGGCTATTGCCAGGCGGATTATAAAATAAAATATGGGTACGAGGTGCCGTGAGTAAATAATGAGAATATTTGGCACGTGAATTGTACGTGCAGTTGTGATATGAAATGTGGGCACGAGGTGCTGTGATGAAATGATAATGATAATTGGCACGTGAATTGTCCGTGCAGTTGTGATATGAAATGAGGGCATGAGGTGCCGGAGAAATATGATGATTTAATTATGGGCACGAGGTGCCGTGAAAATATGAAAATGGGCTGAGACCCGTATTTTTATGATTTCGATATAAGGTGTCACATGGTGATTTTTTAATTGAAAGAATTATAATCAAAATATTTATTTGGAAGGATTTTTACTTAGAAAGTATTATATGAAAGAATTTTATTTGAAAGATATTTATTAGAGGAAATTATATTTGAAATTATTTATTGAAAGAATTATATTTGAAAAATAATTATTTGAGAAAATCATATTTGAAAGAGAGTTATCTGGAAGAATTATATGTGATGACACTTATTTGAAGGACTTGATTTAATTGGGTGTACTTGTATTTATTAATTGTTGAGTGATATTAATGGTATTCTTGTTGTCTGCTATGAATATCACTGGTTGTCTCATGTTGTCCTATTATTATTTGTTTCCTATTATTTTGTATATTATATTGCACAGGTTATTAGA